CTGGCCTAACAATTCTATAATTAGAAATAATGAAACAGGATGTCCATCAATTTATCTTAGGCAGCTATTTTCCTATCAGGACATAGAACAAGGTGAAGTACTCTAATAGTGATGTCCCTTGATTTTTTTTTTCATAGGCTTTTGTGAAAGACCAAACCTCACCTGAAGGCCTCCATATAGTTACAATGAAAATAAGCCATATTGTGGATGTTACACACTTGAATTGATCAGTATAATTAAGTTGAAGATTGAATAAATTGATGTAAAATACACAGATTTGTTTTAGGTCTTGAGAAGCAGCAGTTGGGGCCTATTACTGAGCTGATAGCATGCCAGAAAGAATCCTATTTGCTTCACTCCACAGAATCTTCTGCAATACTTCAGGGCATGAATTTCTGCCACCTTCCTGCACAGATAATGGTCACCAAACTGCTTACAGATCTGATTGGTTCATTAATCGCTAATTAGAAAACTAGTTCAACTGAAAAAGTAATAGAAGTCATCAAATTGTGGGGAGGGGAAAATGGAGGAAGAATAGAATGTAGGCTTTTGTGGTGATGAACCATTTGTTTGAACTCTGGTCTGTGGAAGGGATATCAAGACATTTCCTGCTTGCTCCAAGCAGGTTCTAGATTTGTACTCTTCCTCTTATTTTTCCCATTCCATTCTCTGTACTACTACTAGTTAGTCTTGCTCTTCAATTTAGATTCACCTTTGAGAATGAAGTTAATGTCTTATGCACACAAAGGTTTGTTTTGTACTTTTTTTACAATCTCACTCCTGTGTTTCTGTGTAGGAAGAACATGTCCTTTTGCAGCTGGAAGAAGGAATTGAAGCCCTGGAGGCTGCTATTAATTACAAGAATGAAAGTATTCAGAGTCGCCAGTACTTGCTTAGATCCTCTTCACAGATCCTTTCACAGAGTGAGGATAATGCAATAGGAAAACTAGTTTCCTTGTCTGCTGATGAGCTCAGAGCTATCCTCTTCAAATACTTTAACAAGGTTTGCTTTGGCTAATGATCAATATTTTATCCTATTACCTGTTATTGCACTAAATAGTTAAATGAAATAGTGTCAAGAAGTAAAGTCAATTTAATCCACTTTCCTTGAAAGCCTGCTTAGGTTACTCACATCTGTTGTTAATTTGGATATTTTGCATCTTGACATCAACATAAAAAAGGATGCTTTTCTATTACTTGTTTGTATCTTGTTTTGGTGTCATTAGCTTAAAAGGTGTTGCAACTCTGGAAATTTCCTTGCTCCTTTCCACTGCTTTATGCTGCTAACTTCTCAAGTAGCAACATATTTAAACAGTGGTGTCGTATTGAAATTCTTCCCACCTGCAGTCTTTATTAACCTCAGGATAGTATTTCTTTTTTCCAAATCCATTATAAAATCTTTCTGCAAACAAGCGCTTACCACCATATACTGAAGAATCGTAATGACACCTGGAAACATAAAAAAGAAATGCATTAGGACTTGGTGTCTCTCTTTGCCCATGGGTGAACCTTGGGTGATTTTGTGAACAAGTTGTCTGTGGTACACAAATTGGCAGTTTTCCAGAAACAGGAAAAAAACTCTTGTATCAGTTTAAGTTCTGCACAGGGCATTAAAAAATCCACTAGTCCATGTGATCAAAATCTACAGAGCTCAATTCTGAAGTGTGAACTCGTGTCAGCAGGCAAATCTGTTTCCAGTATAAGCTTACAGCTTATACAGACAATTGCTTTTGTATCCATTCATCTATTAAGCAGAACTGTAAAAGCATTTGTTGAAATGGTTTGATAGAAGTGTATTAGATTGTCTTAGATTGTTGGCCTGCGAGAGTCTGAACGTAAATTACAACTGCAGACTGAAGAACAGGAGATGAAGGTCATAGACCAGGAAAATATAAAACGTGAATTGGAATCTGCACTTGAGCACATCAAGTTGCAGTGTGACAGGCAGCTGATGCTACAACACAGAGAACATGAGAAAAAACTACAGTTGATACTGCATCATTTCAAGGGTGCTTGTTTGTTTTCCAAGGGGAATTGTACAGCAGATATTATCTTTAGTCACTGTTGAGAAATACTGTGTTTCATATGAAAGAAAAAAGAAGATATGAGGTAGAAAGATAACATTTTGGCTGTTACTAATTCTGATGTCGTGTAGGATGCTGATGAACAGACACAAGGTGCTTGTATAAAAGAAAAAAGCTGACCATTTTTAAAAAACGGTCAGAATTGTCACATTTTTATATTCAATTTGTTGACATTGGAAAGGTGAAAGATAGCAATCCCCTTGATCTTTATCCTCTAAATGCTCCTATTAAAATGGAGAATTGGGGTTGGCATGGGCTTTTTGCTCCTCTGTCATACTAGTTTAAATGTACACCCTGAAAGCAGAGTGTCAGCAAAATACAGGACATTCTCTAGCTGGGCATCTTGATTTTGGCACAGAGAAGTGAAGTGAAGATTTGATTCTCATACTAGTTTTACTTGCCCTAGAACAAGATGGTGAAGGTATTGCAGAAACCTTGAAAGAGTATGAAGTAAAAGTCCAGCAACTGGAAAAAGACTTCTTTTATTCTAGAGAAAACCAGCAGAGAGCTGAAGAAGAAATTGAAGGGCTTTTTTGGAGAGTCACCCCATCAACTAATGGCACCTACTAAATGTAAGTACATGATCTTAAAATGCTTTTGTGTTTGTCAGTAGATCATTTGAGGGGTAGCAAACAGACAGAAGTATATCAGATAGACATAAAACTCATATTTTTACTGAACTAACTCTTATCCAGGAAGGTACTACATCTCCCCACACTTGCAAAGGAGAGACAACATCAGTTTGTAATAGAGGCAGTGGTATAACACTGTTCTAAATTCGTGTTTGGTTTTCTGTGGATTCGAGCATAATTTCAGAAGCTACAGTCTCACACTGTTGTGGTTGAGAAAACGGTATTTTATGATCTGAAAGACTCTGAATGGCATTATAATTAACAAATGTGTAATATGCTATGCTTTTAGATGCCAGTATTTTAAACAATCAACTTGATTTTGCTGCCAGCACTTGATTTCATAGAAGTTATTTCTTGGAAGATTGTCAATGAGGAGGTCCATACTTCCAGTTAACTAAAATCATTCTTTATTAAGGTTAAAAGACCTAGATATTTGTAGTAAGAAGATAAGCTTCCTAATGTGATCTATGCTTTGACCAAAAAAAAAAAAAAAAAAAAAAAAAGGACCAACAAACAACTATGAAAAGTTTTTTTGATTGTTCCAGGTCCTACTAACCACAACTCAAACTTAAAATGAAGTAGTTCTAGTGTAGAAGCAAAAATGGTTTAATCATTGTCATTATCTTGGTTGTCTTACACCTCACACTGCCACCACCACCACTTCACACGCACAGTGCAGCCTTCTTGGCCCCGTGTTTCGTCTTAAGGCTCAGTGTGACTCATTCTTCCTCTTAACTGATGGTTCTATTTCGTCACACTTGAGGTAGTGCCATGTCTTTGTAACACGTAGATGCTGGTCACATATGCATCTGTTGCTACCAGAGTGAATTGAGGTTTAGCTCTCCAGGCAGGATAATAAGCCTAGAGGTTCATTACTCGAAAGTATGCTGTGACGGTGTGAACATGAATATTGCACAGGTTGGACTGTAAATGAGCATGGGGAAGATTATTCTGTGTCTAATACACAAAGAAGCATGTAGTCCAGGACATGTTTTGCTGTGAGGAAACATCCATCGCAGCCAAACTGTAGCGAAATGTAGAAGGATGAATGTCCCTGTGAATTTCTAACTTTTTCAAATCCATATGTTTGTAACGTTTGTAAGAAGCGCTCAGTATTTTTGTATAATTACCTTTAGTTATCTTTCCTCTGAATATATTTTGGGGCATAATACAATGTAATAAAAAAGTGATGAGCTTTAAAAATAACAAAAATCCCTGTGTACATTAAAGTCACATTCAAAGACTATGTTTTGTGTGTTCTGCTATGAAATTGCAGACTACTTTTGAAAATACGAAGAATTTCATATTTTACTGTCATGGTTCAGTTGTTTTAAGATTGCCTAAATTGCAAGTTAGAATGGTGAAGCTTGTATTACAAGCAAAGAGCCAGCGGAAAGTAAAAGACACAGTCTTTTACTTCCTTGTCTTTCGGGTCCTTAACATACAATGGTGCTAGCTCAGACCTAGGAATCACCAGTCTTTATCTTGTTCCCTGTCTCAAGTCCCCCCTTTTCTTGAGCCTAAGCAAATTCTTTGGCTTATTACAATCCTTCTTGATTAAAAGTTTTCATTAAATTCTTACCAGTTTTGACTTGGTGCTTGTTTCAGTTACACTTCCAGGTATCATAATCTAGTCCTTCATACAGCACCAAAATGCACATTGTACCACTACACAAGTCAAGACTACTACTCTTAAAAAGAAGATCAGGATTCCTCTAAACGATTGCTTAAGCCAAGAAAAGTTGGGTAACCAAAAAGGTGATTTTGTTGCATAATTCTCGAAAACCCCAGGAGGTGTCATCTTGAATTACCTTATGTAATCACCTTAGACTAATCACCTTATTACCGTAGTCTTTCCCCAAATGTTTTCGTGCTCAGTCTCAATTCCTCCTGCCTCATTTACACACATACAGCAACTAATATTGATTAAAGTGCATCCTTCCCCTTGGGAGGCAAATAAAAGGTCTAGTGCCTAAAACATTGATTTGTTCTAGTTGCTTGCACCAAACTGTAAGATGTTGTTGCAAATATTGGTTTCCGAAATGGGTTAGATCTTCTCCTTTGTCCGGCATTTGGTAAGGCCTGCCATCCAATATCTCCAAAGGGGCTTAGTTTGACCAAGTTTGCTCCTGGGGGATGGATGGAGCCCGTGGTAGGGAGCCATGTGGGAGCAGTGCTTGAGGAGCTGCTGCCTTTGGCAGCCCCTGCAGGCTCACTTCGGGAATCCCGTGTGAGGGATGAAGTTCTGTGTTTTTTGTTTTGTTTTTGTTTTGTTTTGTTTTGTTTTGTTTTTCTGAAGAAACCGGGTGTTTAAGAAGGAAATGCAGAGTTGCCTTTGTTTGGCACTCGATGGTCTTGAGGTCTCTTCCAACGTAGACATTCTGTGATTCTGTGAAGTCACAAACGCCAAGGCATCACACTGGCTGGCTCTGCAGCACAGATGCCAGGAGTGCTGCTTGGCATGGCGGCGGCGGCGCGGTGCCCCAGCCCCAGGCCCATCCCAGCCCCAGCGCACGTCGCCCTCCGCTCCCCCATGGAGCCCCCCGCCGCCTCAGCAGCCCCGTGGCGGACGCCCCATGGCAGAGCCGCCCCCGAGGAGAAGGAGCCCGCAGCCCTCTGCCCGCAACGCACCGCACTGCACCAAGCGCCGCGCAACGGCTGCCACCACCGCGGGGGCTCCTGGTGTGAGCGGCAAGCGGTGGCAAGGGGGGGCTGTGCTTCCTGAGTCAAGCTGCTGGACTCCGGCTTGCCTGGGCAATTGCCCATGTTGCTGAGGAGGCAACAGAGCCAAAGCCCTTCGGGCTGAAGATCCAGCACAGCTGGGGAGGCTTTGGCATTTCTGCACAATGCTGCTCAATCCTGCTTGGGAGCCCAGCCTCAGGTGCGGAATGAAGCCAAGCAAGCTCGAGGGAAACTGTGTGCTGGTAAGTTGTCAGTTCTTGCTTTCTTTTTCATTCCTCACGCCTAAGAAAACCTAACTCTTTCAAGCACCTGTTTGAAGACACGGTTTGATGGACTTGATTCTGGGTGTGCTCCTTAAGCTTGTTCGGCAGCTGTTGAACCCCGCTACACTTGCAGGAGACCTATGCTCGAGTTGATGCTTGCTGTGATCAAGCGGTGTTCTTTTGCTCTTCTTTGCTTTGGGGATGGTGGGTGAGGTTGCAAAGAGTTTTCAGGAGGATTCTTCTTTTCCTTTGCAGAATCCCAGACTGCGTATTAGAGCTGCTCTTCATCTCTGCTCGGAAAAGCTTCACGGGCCAAAAGAGAATGGAGATGAGGAAGGCAATGGAGAATGATGAGGACTATTTGCAGTCAGCACGCGTAAGCTTTGTGAAAGAATCAGGTGCATTTCTGTAGTGGTAGAAAGCGTAGCTGGAAAGACTTCCTAAGAACGTCAAGTCCAATTCATTGTTCTCAGTTAGAGCAATCCCGTAGTTTAGACTCCTGATAAGGTATTTGTCTGTAGGCAGCTGCCAACTTGTCCAGCTAATCCAATTCAGCCTGGAAAACAAGCAAGCAAGCAAGCAATCAAAAAGCACAGAAACCTGCAGTTTATGGAGTGCAACTGTCTCCTTTCTAATCTCATGGGTTTCACCAAGTTTTGGGTGACTCCAGGGCTGGCTTGCCAGGGAGACTTTCTTGAATTGCTGGCAGATCAGCCAGAAGGGCAATACAAGGCCCTGGCTAAACACAATCTGTAGGCTGCTTCTAGATCAACAGTTTCCTTGGTTACTCCACAACCTCCACAATCTCCACTTGCTTCGAAGCTGTGAAGATTGCAAGTCCACTTTGTGTTTTTCAGCCACTCTGTGTCAAACGCTAAGAGTTTTCACTGGCTGTTAAAACAGAAAGGACAAAGAGCCCCTCCTCTGGGTCTTCAGAAGGCTCCTAAGATCCCCCAGACTGGCTAAGTAGCGACGCTCTAGTATAGATGCATCTAGATGCAGTAGAGCTAGATGGTGGGAGAGAGGCTCTAGCATGGACGTGACACGCTTTGACAGCATCTTTTCTCTGACAGCAACTTCTGCCTTGGCTCTTCCCATCAAGCCCCAGAGCAGTTTCTTGGCCTGCACAACCTGCAGACTGACCTCTCGTGTGTATCCGTGCTGGACTGAGGGTAATGTTTGGAACACACACTGATGCTGTATTCACTAGAACTTTGAGAAGAGAGCGCAAGAAGCTAACCTGCATACGAGTTTCTTAGGTTTCTGTAGAGAGAGAGAGATGTACATGCATACATATTTACTTCTGTCTTTACTTCTTTCAAGATATCTTTTGTTCTCCAAAATGAATCCTCTGACTGTTACTAACGTATGGGACACACCTTGACACTCTAATGGCATAGAAATACTTTTCAGCTCATCCTTGCTATTGTTTCTGGATTGAAAAAATAATTGTGAATATGATTACCTGCTTTGGAATCTTTTTTTTTTTTTTTTTTTAGTATATATCTATCTATTATGAAATCCTATAAAAAGGAGTGAACTCAAGAGGAAAAAAAAAAAAGAAAACAATTTTATAATCCACTTCTAAATTAGCTCAACAATGAAACAGTAAAAAATGCAATAATATTTCTTCTATCCCAAGATTTCATGGTACAATAGTTCTTTGCCTAACCCTGCAATAGCCCCATAGGCATTGCAATTGCTTACTTGTGTTCTTCTCCTTTGCTTGGTTTAGTGTTTGCTTTCTAATGTTACAACATTGGATTGATTTACCTCTTTAGGGTATCAAGAGAGAAGGCATTTGCTTCAGAGGACAGTACTTTGATGCTTTCCAGGGCTAATGGGCCAAAGTTTCTCAAAGCACTTTTTTTCTTTTTTTTTTTTTCCCATCAGTGATTTATACATTTGTCAATCTTTCCATCTTCATTTACAACTCCGAATTTAGGTTTAGGTGAACAAGAACCCTGAAACCAGCTGAAGCCATATCAGACATGAAGCCATATCAGACATAGTAAGGACATGTGTCTGTGAGGAAGTAATTCAGAGTGATTCTCTGGTGTCCTTTGGACAGCTTTCCTCTGGTCCTCTGCACTAAGCATCCCCAAGGGATATTTCAAAGCTCTCGGAATGATCTGTCATTCTCTCTTCCACTAGAGTCTCCATTAGAAAAGCGTGACTATTCCTTGCCCATGTGGAAAAGAAGTCCTCCTTGCGTTGTTTCTAAGCAAACCTCTTTCTTGTGTTCTATGGACAGAACCACTTGGCTAGATAAACTCAATCATTGCAAATGGAAGGAGTGGAACTACTTCAGCACCGTGCTTCGGCTTCTAAACAGAACTGTAATGTAGGTGGGGACGTAGCAAGAGGACATGGCCAAGCCAGGGTGGACTTGAAAGTGCCGTGTCCGAGCCACAGCAAGAAGTCCGTGATTGCCCCTTGGAGACTGCTGCTCACCTAGTAGCACAGCAGCTGGAACGCTTCTGGATACTGCTGATGGATTGCCACGAATCAGGCAGTGACACAAGCTACGAGAACGACGGAAGTGACTGGAAGTGATGCTTCTCCCTGTTCTCCATTGCAATTTGTGAAAGAAAGGAGAAGAGAGGAGAAGAGAAAGGAGAAGACGGGAGGGAAGGGGAGGGAATGAAGAGAACGGGAGGGAGGGGAGGGAAGGGTAAAAACGAGAATGGGAGGGGAGGGAAGGGCAGGGGAGGGCAGGGGAGTTCTGGGGAGGGCAGGGGAGGGCACGGAGGGCAGGGGAGGGCAGGGGAGCAGAGTGTAGTGGAGTGTAGGGTAGTGTATGGTAGTGTAGGGTAGTGTAGGGGAGGGGATTGTTTGGTGAGGAGAGTGTAGGGGAGCGTAGGGGAGGAGAGTATAGGGGAGTGTAGGAGAGGAGAGTGGAGGGGAGTGTAGGGAAGGGGAGTGTAGGGGAACAGAGTGAAGGGGAAGGTAGGGGAGGTGTGTGTAGGGGAGTGTAGGGGAACTGAGTGAAGAAGAGGGTAGGGGAGCAGAATGTAGGGGAGGGTAGGGGAGCAGAGTGTAGGAGAGTGTAGGGGAACTGAGTGAAGAGAGGGTAGGGAGCAGAGTGTAGGGGAGTGTAGGGGAACTGGGTGAAGAAGAGGGTAGGGGAGCAGAGTGTAGAGGAGTGTAGGGGAGCAGTGTGTAGGGGAGGTGTGTGTAGGGGAGTGTAGGTGAGGAGAGTGTAGGGGAGTGTGTGTGGGGGAATGTACGGGAGTATAGGGGAGGAGAGAGTCGGGGAAGGAAGTGGAGGGGAGGAGAGGGAAGGGGAAGGAGGGAATATTGCCTTATTTGTTACCTTTTTACTGTCTTCGTGTAGAGCCGTGACAGGCAAAATAAACTATGTTGGTGAAAAGGACGTCTTTGTCTGGTGTGATTCCCGCTCCCCCAGTTTAAATTAATCAAGAATAATCTGCTCCTGATTGAGGTCTTCCCTTACTAGTGCAGTGCTAGGACCTACGTGCTCAATGTGCTGAGGATGTGCAAGAGTCTTAGAAAACAGTCAAGTTTTCCTCCCTCCTTGCTTCTTTATGAAATAAACATGATATCATACAGCACCGGGCTGTTTTTCATGACGGAAATTCACTTCTACCCTGCACAACAAAGCTTATGATATATCCAGACCAGAGCTAAGCCGTCAGCTTGGGCAGCCACTGTCAGGCGTTCGCTTCTGTCCAGTCGCCCCTTGGGGAAGCCACTTGCACTGGTTGCTTTCCTCACAAGTTTACCAAGTTTGCGTAAAGCTCCAAAGCTCAGGCCTATGCAGACACAGACCTGCTGCTCCTTTAACACACAAGAGGGGGCTATTGTTCACAACAGCTTTTCCAGTGCTTCTCTCCGTTTTTTGTTGGAAATCCAGTCCTTGCTTGCAGATTGGCTTTTTCAATTCAGTGATTAGTGGGTACTGGAAGGTTCAAAAACAACACCTGACAATCTTGTCCATACGTAGGTAAGGAGAGATCTAAGGAAGGAACAGGTTGCAATACCTAAGGCTTATGCATCGCTCAAGCTTCCAGTTGAGCTGTGAAATCCACGCCTCAGGTCACTTGAGGTACCAGGAGTCCCTGTAGAACATACAGGGGTCTCCAGCAGTGAGGTTCCCTGAGCAGAGGGCTTCAAGAGCTCCACAGGGAATGAAAAGAAGACTTGTGATATCCATGAGGAATGTGGCTTGCTCTCGGCAATAGAGACAAATTCCTTTCTGATTAATGCTCCACCCTGCTCCACTCCAGGGACAGATGCCTATGGCAACCTGGTCCCAGTACGTAGTACTAGGATGAGGTGGCAGGGACTGTCCCCATTCATTTTCTTTCTTCAGGGTGGCCATGCCTCCTCTCTGGCTGAAGGTGGGCTTCATGGACCGTGTGAAGGGGAGAGGTCTGGGGAAGGACTGAAAAACTTGAGAAATACTCCGAGGATAAATCAAAAGTTGGTTGCACTGAAGTAGATAGGAAGTGCAAATGATAGCCTGGGTAGATTTGCTGCAAAGAATCTGAAGAATCTGGGTCTGCTTGCCAGAGCACTCATCCCAGTGGCTCATGATTTCTTTTGCACAGTTTTGGTTTGTTGTTCCCCAAGTCAGGACGGAATTTTGGGAATGCTCTTACACTTACCTCATGAAAGAAAGACATGTTCTTTACTAGGTATGATTTTACCTGCTTAGATTTAGGGTACTTAGGCTATGCTATACAACTCTTCTTCACAAGAATAGTCTTCTCTATACAACTCTGTATAGTTGGTCTAATGAAATGAAAGGAACAGTGTCAATTTACAGGAACAGTGTCAATTCCAGCATTTGAAGCAGTGCTGTGGCTTCATAATTAATAGACAGCTTTTAGAAGAACAGACAAAAATGATTCTATCTATCTTTATTTCCTGTGTAGATTTACTTAAGTGGTTCTTTCCCATTCATACTAATCCAGCTATTCACATACAGACCGGAGTTATGCACTAAAAAATTATGTCACTCTGTCACTTTCTGTCATGATGTAATTATTGCTTACAAGCAGCAGTCAATTGAACAAAGCCTTTCACATGACTGGCTGTCTAACAACTATGCTGCTGTTGTATTTCCCAGGTGAACCACTTCAGAATTTCATAGAAGTGAAGAAGGATGCCTATATGGTATGCTATCTGGCTACCCAGGTGTAGTCTGTTGGTTCCAAAACTGCCTGTCTTCACCTTGGGCAAAAGAACACAAGGTACTCAATATTGAAAAGATACCAGATAAGCATTAGTATCTTGAGTGTCGTAAGTACTCCAAGCCCGAAGGGAATTGCCACATTTCCTCTTGGCCAGCACAGCCGTGGTGTTTTTAATATCTTGGAAAACAAAATGATCAGGTATGCTGTGAATCAGCTGGCAATTTGCTTTGTGGCTTTTCTCATGAATTCTGCATGCTTCCTTTCTTTGGAGATACTTGACTTGTACATCCAGGTCTTTCTTCTTTAAGAAAGTAGAAGCATCTCAAAAAGCAAAAAGTTACCAAGGTGTTTGAAAACAGGAGTCCAAATCTAACAGATGTAGGGATTTATAACAGAGGAAGTGGAGACAAAGATCAGCCATGAAATAGATCTGAGAAAAACACAGGTAGCAGTGTCACGTGCGGATAAAGGAAAAGAGATAACCAAATGTCTTTCTTGAAGTGGAAAAATAATGGGGAAAACAAGACTCATGGGAAAAGCAAGCATCTTAGCTGGGTGGGAAAAGCAAGCATCTTAGCTGGGATTGACAATAAGTAAAAAGCTACTACGCAGAAGTCTGTAGCTGTTGTAAAGTTGCCATGCCATTTTGCAGAGCAGAACGCAAACACATCAACGTGCATTCTGGGCTTAGAGGAAGAAGCTCGTGAATTCTTGGTAGTTCTCATTCTGAAGTGAAGGGTCTGTAATGTGCATATTGAAGCAAAAGTCACACTTGTACAATATGTATAGAATTCCCTGGAGCATTTAACAAAAACGCCTGACTGGTAAGGTAGGACTGGTTAGAAATGCTCGCAAGTTGGGTGACAGCTGATGACTAGGTTACAGTGCAGAGTAACCTTGGATTT